TATATATATATATATATATATATATATTAAACATTTTTAACCAAGTCTGTTAAAGAAACTGACATTTAAGACAGAATAGGATATAACTTCACAAACTATTAACATGGCTTTGCTCCTGAACTAATAGTGCATGGAAAACTGTACATTCTGTCATAGCATTTAATAATTAGGGATGATAAATCAAACTTTTATTTTGGAAAATTATGCAAAGCTACACAACGGGTTACTTGCATTAGCCATCCTTAATTTTAAGCTGATAGACTAGAGGGAAGGTAGCTAGTTAACAGCACCCATTGTCTACTGTTGGGATACTCTTATTGATGTGGGATTTTAACATTTATATAATACACCCACTGCCCCAAAGTGTGACAAGCATTTTGTGGCTAGAGGATGCAAACCATGAACTCTAAAGTTTACAGCATAGCACACTAACATTAGACAATGCCCAGCTGGCTAAACTAAGCATATTTTAATAGTTGTTATATGTTAAAATTACTGTCATTTAATGAAAGACAAAGTGAAATTAATTAGAACATAGAATAAGTAAATCATTTACAAATATGATTTCTGATCATACACAACATCAATAAATTAAATATATATATATTTAATCTGATGATACAAAAGTAAGTAACAAGTTTGATGGTTAAATAAACAGAGAGAGAATTAGAGAAAAGGAAGCCAACATCATGTGACAAAAAATTACTATTTTAAAATATGCATTCATTATAAAATACCTTACAATACATTTAAAGTATATAAAAAAAGTATTAAAGTGCATGTTAAAATCTTCTTTATGTGATTGTGGATTCTATTTATACATATTCAAAAATTAAGCTTGTTAAATTTACTACCCTAACACATTTCTCACCATGTAAGTGTATAATTTAGTTGTGCCAAATAATCAGTTACAGCTGTCACTAAATCATATTTTGCAATAACACCAAAAATGATATATTCCCCCAAATTATAATGTTTCGATCCTAGGTAAACCTTTGATAATCAAACTAAGATTCCCATAAGCTGAACTTGTACCACTTGTACCCAATATACTGAATAAATACAAATACTTTTATTTATGTGATTATATTAACAAGTATTAACCAAATCAATTGTTGTTACACTAACAATATAGCAAAACAATTACAATGAGATAAAATTTCTATAGCTAAATTAATTTTAAATAGTACATACAGTATTAATTTCCAAGTAAAAAATTTGTCTCTCCATGCTGACATTTTTCTGCCAGTTATAACAGAACTGCTAACCTGTATGTGTTAAGTTTATTAGGTAAATACCTGTGTATACTACAGAGTATTATGCAACTACTGTATTTAAAATAAATCACAAATATTTTAGAGTGTTACTTACGAGGCCTGTGAGAAAAGTATCCGACCTTATTTTTTTTCGATAACCTGATGGATTTGAATCAAGCGCGCTTGCATGAGCCGACCTTGAACCTTCGTGCGCATGCGTGAATTTTTTCCTGCTTGTTGATTGCGTCAGTTGTTGGCAAGCAGCCATTGAGTGAGGTAGTGTGTAGTGCTCTCGTCGGTTTTTCATTGCAAGGAAAATGACAGAACGATTGGAGCAGCGCTACTGCATCAAATTTTGCCAGAAACTGGGCGACAGCCAGGTGGAAACCATTCGGAAGATTCAGACGGCTTTCGGTGATGATGCTATGGGCATCACACAGATTAAGGAGTGGTACAACCGGTTTAAAGACGGCCGCACAACGGTGGAGAGAGAGCCACGCTCCGGTCGGCCATCAATATGCCGAAATGACCAGGTCATTGCCAAAGTGAACACTATGGTGATGCGGGGCCGTCGTGTGACTATCCGAGAAATTGCGGAAGAGGTGGGCATCAGCACTTTTTCGGCACATTCCATTATGATCGAAGATTTGGCTATGAAGAGAGTGGCGGCGAAATTCGTGCCGAAGCTGCTTACGGCGGAGCAAAAGGAACTTCATGTTGAAGTCTCACAGGACATGCTGGACTCCACAAACGGTGACCCTGACTTCATGAGCACCATAATCACTGGTGACGAGTCTTGGGTGTACGGGTACGACCCGGAAACCAAATCCCAGTCGTCACAGTGGAAGCATTCCACGTCACCAAGACCAAAGAAGGCCCGCCAAGTGCACAGCAACGTCAAAGTGATGCTGACTGTTTTCTTTGACTCCCGCGGTGTGGTACACTACGAGTACGCACCACAGGGTCAAACAATCACCAAAGAGTACTACAGGGATGTCCTCCGTCGCCTATGTGATGCTGTGCGGTGCAAGAGACCGGAGTTGTGGTCAACAGGAAATTGGCGCCTCCATCACGACAATGCTCCAACACATTCCTCGCACTTGATTCAGACTTTGTTGGCGAAAAACCAGACTCCTGAGGTTCAACAGGCTCCTTAATCTCCTGATATGGCTCCTTGCGACTTCTGGCTATTCCCCAAACTCAAGAGGCCATTGAAAGGAACGCGATTTCAGACAAGAGAGGACATTATGGCTGCAACGACAGCTGAGCTGAACTCCATTTCGAAAGAGTCTTTCTTGGAATGCTTCCAACAATGGCGGCACCGCTGGGAGAAGTGTGTGGAGTCCCAAGGAGACTACTTTGAGGGTGATTAGGTTTCCAACGCTCCAGGTATGCCAGTTTTTATTCCCCGGCCAAAGGTCGGATACTTTTCTCACAGGTCTCGTATGTAAATCAGCTTCTCAATACATTAAGCTATCATGCCTACTTTGGATTTATTATTTATAGTATAGTACCTTTGTCTTTAGGCTTTCAGATTTTGTTATGTTTCAAACAGACTACACATCATTCATAATGTTAAGAGTTTATTGAACAATTTATGATTTTACTTATTAAATTGACAAGTGTGAAACTTTCTGTTGTTACATTGGCTACTGAAATGCCAAGTTACTTCAGTTAAGATAAAAAAGCAAATACTACAGTACAGTATAACTTACTAAGCTACACAAAAATTTTAAAAATATTAAACTACATTTCATTTTTAGGTAAAACTGGCAGATTTAATTGAAAAGGTATGGCATTTGCAACCAGAATAGCAGTTTATGCAACAAATGAGCTAAACAACCAAGTCAAAGACCTCAAAGTTCAGGCATATCCATATCTAATTTAGAACTACTGGGATAAAGGACAGCCACTTAGTAATACCACCACCTACACTGCTGCCCTTAACTGAATGAAAGGGCTGTCACTTTTATAGCAATCACACAGCTCTGAAAGTTCACTGTGTTTGTTCAACAGCATAATGTCAGCTCAAATCTTAGACCATATGATCCATATCCTGATGTGATGCCACTTTCCAAATCTTATCTTACATGACACCACTATGTTCCAATTATATTCCTGCTTAAATCTTTAAAAACAGGCCAAAACTGAGTTAATCTATTAACTTTGAAATTCTACCCAAATGGATTAAAAGAAATATTATATGTTTCTTCAGAATGGGTGTGGTCTAGGTCAATAATATTACTTCAGAACATTGAATTTTAAGCTTCATTATATCATATGCATGTGCATTGTGGTCAAAGGGTTATGACTTAGGTTCTAGAAAGGATAGAATTTTGCAGCACACTGGCAGACTTACCAATAATGTTAGACGATGTCCAGCTTATCTGTTGAAGGAAAGGTTCAGTAAATAATGGTTTGGTGGAAAAAAAGCCAATGCAGTAGTAAATTGCTGAAAAACACTAACATTCAACTGAATGCATATGCACATAGGTAGCTTAAAATGGACAAACAGAAACTTAAAAAACAAGATAATTCAAAATTGTTAATTTAAAAAGGGAAATAGGGATCATCAAAAAAGTACAAAAAAAGTTACATCAAAATGAAAAGATTATATTTCCAAGCCTATAGCTAGGGTCTCTAAAAAAAGTAAACAAACTAGACTGGAAATAGTGTCTGCATTATTTTCTCAAGCTACAAATCCCTATTTTGGTTCCACTAAAATTGATAAGTGCTGTAGACATAGGGTCAAAATAAGGATTTGTAGCCCAAGAAAATAATCTAGACACTATTTCCAGCCTAATATGTTTACTTTTTTTGTAGAGTCCCTAGTTTTAGGCTTGGAAATATAATTTTTGCATTTCGATTCAAATTCTTTCTGTACCTCTTTTACTTTTAACAATCTCTATTCACCTTTCTAAATTAACAATTTTGAATTATCTTGTTACAACATTACTAATACTATTTAAGTTACTGAGTTAGTGCTATATATTAGTATTACTATATACTGCAATAATAATATTATTAATAATATAGCACTAACTCAGTAACTGCCCCCTAGCACTACTACTAGTAGTATTTAAGTAGTACTAGTAATACTAATAGTATCGGCTCTAGTCTCTTTACCCTGGTCAAATTATAATTTTATACATTAACACGACAAATCGAAAACTTTCACTGTCTGTAAACTTTGAGAGTAATTATCCTCATTCAGTTGTTGTTATCTGTAGTACAATAAATATTAGTACTTACCTGTTTTATTACTGCTGTACCTGGTAATGAAGTATGTATACATTACTCCTAACTATAACAGTCCTGGCTTTCAAATTAGAGCGGATATCATTCACTTTGTATAGAGCGTCCCCTACATCTGAAAAAGTAAGCTATAAAGAAACATAAAAATTTGTTATATATGGTTCTCTTCGTAGCTCAGTTACGTCAAACAAACTGTAACAAATATAAAAATTATCGATGAATCAATTAACTTTAACATAATTGAATCTACTTCACATACAGTGTACTTCTGATTGAAATGTAAAGAATCGGGTCAAGCTACACACTAAATATCATTTTTCGTTTCCTACTTTAATATTAAAAAGGTTTGTATTTATTTTGAATTTTGCGCAAAGCTATACGAGGACTATCTACGCTACCCGTCCCTAATTTCGCAGTGAAAGACTAGACAGAAGACGGCTTGTTATCCCCACCCACCGTTAACTCTTGGGCTACTCTTTTACCAATAAATAGTGGGACTGACCGTAACATTTATACCACTTGAGCGTCCGTCAATAACACAAATGAAATATAAAAAAGACACAAGGATCAAGCAATCGACACAATTTGAGATTAATTATTTTATACTTGGTTTGTTTCTGGATTATCGATTACTCGATATTTTAATGTTGTAAAATTTTAGTATTAATAGTGTAGTGCTTCTGTCTTTAAATTTTCTTATTCTAGGCGAAACAGGATTCATAATGTTAAGATTGAATGAAAAATTTATGATTTTATTATTAATTTGACTCGTGAAAAACATTTTTGATTTTATCACTGTCGTCTGTAATGCCAATTAACTTTTTTGTTTAAAACAACACATATACTGGCGTGCATTGTGAGTTACTAAATTATGGGTCTGCATATTGTGTTAATTTTGATATTAGTTAAATATAGCATATAAAACTGCTTCCATCCTTGGTTGTGAAGTCCCATGAAATACAACATTAAATTATCCATTCACTAAGACATTTTGGTGTTTTTTCTTCCAAAGGCTCATGGCACATGGATGAGATGGCATTTTGTCCCTTCTTACTGGCCATCCTGTTACTGGAAAATATTTTCCTGGGTAAAGAGGTAAGTAAATCCATTCGCGATTCCAACCTAGATTATCCTTTGGAAGTAGTCTCGTCAGGAACTCCAGGCTTCTCCACAGGTTGAGGTTGTGCTGATAAGTTTTTCTCTGTAATTACCCAGTTGGCCACTTTTTCGTTGACTTTCAGTTTTTATGTATGAGCCGGATTCTTTACAGTAGGCGTTTGTGACCTTTTGGTGTGCCCCCCCCCCCACCCCCAGCAGCACAGCGGTATGTCTGTGGATTTACAATGCTAGGAACCAGATTTCAATACCCGTTCACATATAACCCATTGTGTGGCTTTGTGATTAATTACAAACAAACCTTTTGGTGATAAATTTCAAGAATAGACATAGTCTGATTATTTTGATATAGTATATTAAAATAAGTCAAACTTGTATATATATGCTCGTTACACTGTTAGTTATCACAATTGTATCCAGTTTTACATAAATGTCTCCTTTTTTGTCAAAGTCCACACAGACTGGTTCAATTACTTTATATCCCAATTTGACAAGACAATTTATTCTTCTATACTTTGTTATTACAATACAATCTGTGATAATTTCGCTATGTACTCTTTATGGCTAAACTCACAACCATGCAATCCTGATGTATCTTTTGAACTAAATTTTATATGCGTATTTAAACACCGACAGAGGTCTAGAACATTATACATACTACTAGATATTTTGATGTAATAATACTCAATTAAAACAACGAGAAAACTCAGTGGTTTATGTCCTCTATTTTTTATAACCAGCTGTTGGATTTATTCTTTCAGTTCTTCTAAACTATTGTTAATGGAGTTTATGTTTCAATACCACGGGATCTAATATTCTCATAACTTTTAGATGATGCATATAGTAGGTTTTCTGCAACCTTAATGAAATTTAGTTACAATGCCAACTACAGAGCTTTCTTTAAAGATATACTAACACTTTATTTCAGTTTAATAATCATATCCTCATTTGTTATAGCATATATATATATATTGATCACATACCAACTAATCCGTCATTTTATGATGAACGTGTAGACAAGGTAATTGGGCACACCTTCCCAAATCTTACACAAGTTCACTTAAGTTCTCTTTCTTCCTACATATCCTTTTCTGGCACTTTGCTCTGGATACTTCTTTCTGATTTGACATTCCTACCCTGTTGAATAAGGCAACTGCCAATGCTTGATATTTGTTACAAATCTCAACTGGAAGGTAACTTAGTGTTGTCAAAGCTGATTTTTTTACATGGGCTGCAAGATGGATAGCTTATTGTTTGCTATTCCACCCGTTCATTCAAGAAAATGATTTCAAACTGAGCCTGTTATGACTTCCATGGTACCTTCTCATCATAGTCCATTGGTTTCTTTACTGGCCAATGTTCAAGTGGCCAACTAAATTCTGGAACTGGATTTGGCTGTGTTATGGCTGGAGTAGTCCAGGAAGGTTTTGAATAACTTGTCATAGCAGTAGTGATAATAGGTATAGACCAAATAATTTTCCTGTTCCATATTTGTTTTCCAGATGGTGTTCCACACTAGTACTCCTGAGCCAATGCAGAAAAAGATGTGACTGGTTTTGTTTTTGCATTTAATAATTCCTTTTCCAGATGATTTATTCTATCACCAATCTTATTTTCAACCTCAGTGGTGCTCTTTTCTATTTTGTTGGTGTACTTTCTATTCCATTAATGCCTTTCTTTAGTTCATTCATGTTTTTGTACGTCTTCATTTTTATCATCAAAACCTTTTGTGTACTTCTTTTATGTCATTTTGCACTTCTTCAAATTTGTTGCTGTAATTTCTATTTATGTAACCAATAACTTTATCAACCTTGTCTTTGATCAGATTAATTTTTCTTTTTGATGTCTGTTTTTCACTCCTCTCTTAAATCCCTGTCTCTTTCTTTTATTTTTCTATCTCTTTCTATTTAGTCCACTTTACATTTTCTGTAAATTTCTTCTTAGTTTTCTTTTATTTTTTGTCCTGATCTTCTTTAAATTTTCTGTATCATTCTTTTAATTTTAGCCTTCATTTTCCTAATCTTGTTGGCTTTACATGGCTTGATGGTTAGAGCGCTCAACTTGCAATCTGCGGATCGCGGGTTCGAATTCCTGTCACCAAATATGCTCACCCTTTAAGCCGTGGGGGAGTTATAATGTGATAGTCATTCTCATTATTCGTTGGTAAAATAGTAGCCCAAGAGTTGGCGATGAGTGACGTGGACTAATTTCCTTTCCTCTAGTCAGTCACTTTTAAATTAGGGACAACTAGCGCAGATAGCTCTCGAGTAGTTTTGCTCAAAATTCAAATCAAAATAAGCAAACGAAACCTGATTTTGTACTCCGGAGGCGCGTGTCCCTCAAGGAGGTGTACTTAGCCCTACCCTGTTTATCATGTATGTCAGCGACATACCTCTCAAACACCCAAACCACACTTTTTGCTCAAAGTTCGCAGAGGATGTTGCAATTTAGAATAGTCCTTGAAACCCAACAACAGCAACATACAGTATACATTCACTACTAAACGAAATATAATTGTACTGCAATAAGTGGAGAATTAAAATTAATGCGCATAAAACACAACTCATATCAGGAAACTCAGAAAACACGGCAAGGAAACAACTGAGCAGCATCCGGGTCGTCATGGTCCATCGGAGAGGACAAAAAGGGCTGTCAAGAGGAGCATCGAAATGGATCCCAGATTAACGACTGCAGAAGTGGCCAATGTTCTGCTGTACGCCAAGCGGATGACGGTACAGCAGCACTTGTTGTCTTCATACTCCGTACTGCACGGTGCCTGACTCACGCCTTCCAT